AAAAGAAAGAAAGAAAGAAAAAGAAACAAAGAAAGAAAATGCAACATGGCATAATTTGTGGGATGCAGCTGAAGCAGCACTTAAGGGGCAGTTGATAGCATTGTTTCCCCATTGTAGAGACCAGATTATGAAGAATGTCTAACTCCATCCCGTGGGCAATGGGAAGCTGCTCGGGGGCTCTAAGCAGAGGAATAGCATTAGATTTCAATATTTAAAACATCTAACACCAAGTGTTGGTGTACGTGTGGAGCAACCAGAACTGTCATTCCCTGCTGGTAGGAGTGGAAAATGGTACAACCACTTCAGAATAAAGGCTGGTGGTTTCTTATAAACTAGCCATACACCTTCTTAGGACCCAGCAGTTCCACTTCTAGCTATGTACCCAAGAGAAATAAAAGCATGTCTGCACATGCATGTCTCTTTTTGGTACTCTATGTTCAAGAGCAAATACCATTTTTTCTTATGACTTCTGTATTGTCCAAAGACAAGTCTTTTCTGTCTTTTTATGGACCTTTTGCTTTCTTCATGTACAATGTCCTTGATGTCATTCCACAATGTGTCTGGTCTTTCTTTGGTCATTAGTATTCAATGCATCAAATCTATCCTTGAGATGGTTTCTAAAGGCAAGCGGGATATACACAAGGTCAAACTTTGACTTTTATGGACTTGTTTTAATTTTCTTCAGCTTCAAATTGAACTTCCACTTGCACAATTGACTCCATAGTCTCTTTCCATAGATGTAGTTGATTTGATCCTGTATTACATCTGGCAAGGTCTATGTGGATATATTCATTATTTATGTTTTTGAAAAATATTTGCAGTTAATAAATTGTTGGTCTTGCAAAATTTTATCATGTGATTACCCTTATCATTTCTACCAACAAAGTCATATTTTCCCTCTACTGACACTTCTTCTGAGTTTCCAGTCATTAGGAATTATCAATGCATCAATACATGCTGGTATTTGAAATCGCAGCTGCATTCCTTCCACCATCACGGCAACATGCAAGTCACTCCAGTACTACAAACTGACAGATGAGTGGTGGACACATGCTCAGTGCAGCTTTATTTGCAATAGTCAAAAATTAGAAACAACTGTAAGATTCCCCAGGTATATACTAGAGCTGACAAGGGATAAGGTTGTAGTCACTTCTTGGCTACAGCCAGCTACCCAGAGGGAGCAAGTAGTTGGACCTGTGGGGTTGGGACCATAGTCACAGGGGACATCAAGCTCAATTGGCATGGCATACTACACAAAAACATTGCTCCATATCCTACTTTGGTGAGTAGCGACTGGGATCGTAAAAGCTTGCAAGCAGCCATCCAGATGTAACGATGGGTCTCTCCTTGTCCAGAGCAAAGAAAAATGAAGAAAACCAAAGACACATGGAAAGAATTAGTCCAAGGGACTGGTACAACATGAAATCCTTAGCCTATATGACTATAAGACCAGAAGAACCAGATGGTGCCTGGCTACCACTCTCAACCACTTGGAGGGGGATCTATGTAGGAGTTCCTGGATAGAGTGGGAGAACAATGTGGAACAAAACTCAAAATCATTAAAAGGAAAAAGAAGGGGAAAAGAGGGACCAGGTTTGCTGGTCTGATAGAGCCTGATGGAACCACTGAGACTATGACCGCTAGTGGCCCTTCAGGTTTGGAATTGAACCCACTCCTGTGGTTTCCAGCCAAACAAAAGACAGGCATATGAGTTGAATATTTACATTAGCTAGATATACACTCCTTGGAGAGATCAATCATGGCAGAATAGAAGGGCTGTGTATGTGCAGGGAGACAGCTCAGGGGGACAGGAGTGCAGGGGAGGGAAGGACACAGGGAAGAGGTAACTGTGGGAAGAAAGTGAGAGGGGAGCTTTTGCACTGTGGGTAATTGCAGTCAATGTCATGAGACAAAGTGTATATGAGCTACTATATGGAAAATGAATTTGCTCTGTAAACTTTCACCCAAATCACACACAAAAAAAAGAAATTAAATTAGATACAATAAAAATGTCCATCAATGGACAAATAGATAAATAAAATGTGTTATAGCCATACAATGGACTATTAATCAAAAATAAAAGGAACAAACTACATGCAACACAATGAGTGAATCTCAAAAATAGTATGCAAGGTGAAAGGAGAGAAACTAGACACAAAAGAATAAATACACATATGATGCAATTTACAGGAAGTTCTAGAACAAGCAAAACTGATCTATGGTAGAAAAAAAACTCCAACATTATGTCCTTAGGAGGTGGGGGTGGGTTGACTGAGAAGGGACAGAAGGAAAAATTATGGGATGATTTTTGTGTTCTATAATCTTGGTAGAGGTTTTGCTTACAGCTATATGCATTTGTCAGAACCCAGCAAAGGTACATCCTTATTTATGCATTTTCTTGTCTGAAAATTTAACCTCAAAAGAGAAAAAAATTTGAACTCTAATTGATGATATGAATGAAATACTTGTGAAATGCACTGATCTTTGCAACTTGCATTGAATTGTATAAAAATTAAGATGAATAGTTGGCTGAATAAATGATTAGTAAAACAAATGGAGTATCAGATTAATGGAAGAATGCAGAAAATGGGTACGTGGGTGTTCACTTAAGAAATTCTTTCAACTTTGTATCATTTAAAAGTTTGCATAATACAATGTGTCTCTCAACTCAGTAGAGAACCAAATTGAGACAGTTGAGAATAGATGTAAGAAGGCCAGGTAGAAGGTGTCTCATCACCCAACAGGGACACTATGGTATCTTGGATAAGTGTTAGAGATGGAAGAAACATTGGATATGGAGATGCCCAAGTTTAATAATAGGTCTTGGAGGTGGTTTGCATACAGAGGCCAGGAAAGGGTATCACGAACTTTTCAATAATTGTGACTCTTCCAACATGTTGGGAATGAAGAGAATTGTCATGCATTTAGATCTGCTGAAGGATATCACCGGAAGATTTTCCAGCAGCTATGCTAGCTAGGCAGTTACATCAATGGGTTCAGGGCTCAGAGATGAGGGTTTTGGACTGTAGATATCAATTTAGATATCAGTGACATTAATAATAAACACAGATGGACCACAGATTAAGTTACCAAGAGTAGAGAGGAAACTAGGGCTTAGGAGATGAATAACACCAACATTCAGAAGCTACAAGCAGAGAATAACACAAATGCTTGTAGTAGAAAGGAGACTGAGGAGGAACTGAACCTGTAAAATTACTGTTGAAGAAGGTTTGTTACACTAGAGATGAGAGAGAATGCTTTCCTGCTCTGGCACAGCTTCTGGGTGAGGAAAGGTAACATGTTTTGTGAACTGGAAGAAAATAGAAATGTTCCTCTTTTCGGCAGGTGGTCTGAATGAAGGCTGGTTTTCAAATGCCTCTCAAAGTCATATTTTGGACTTAACACCAGGAGCATTCACCCGGCTACTCCCTTTCATTACTGAGAGAAAGGAGTCACCTTCCCGAGGGCTGCTTTCACATCCTTGTTCCGCAGTGTGTAGATGAGTGGGTTCAGGGCGGGGCTCACTGCTGTGTACAACACAGTGACCACCTTGCCACTGTCCATGGAGGAGCCTGAGCCTGGGAGGACATAGGTGTAGATGACAGTGCAGTAGTACAAGGTGACCACCAGGAGGTGGGAGGAGCAGGTGGAGAAGGCGCGGCGCTTGCCTGCGGCCGAGCGGATGCGCAGGACACTGGCCACGATGCAGCCGTAGGAGGCCAAGGTGAACACGAAGTTGAACATGCCAAGGTAGACATCAGCAATGACCACCATGACATTGTTGAATGCCGTAGGACTACAGGACAGCAGCAGCAATGAGGGGATCTCACACAGGAAATTCTCAACGTGGTTAGGGCCACAGAAGTTCAGCCGTGCCATGAGGCCTGTGTGCAAGGATGTGGTGATTGCACCAGCTGTCCACACAGCCATGGCCATCAGTGTACACAAACGCCAGCTCATGATGGCACTGTAGCGCAGTGGTCGACAGATAGCCACATAGCGGTCGAAGGCCATGGCCGTGAGCAGCACCAGCTCAGATGACAGGAACCAGCTCAGGAAGAAGAGCTGGGCCAGACATCCCTGGTAGGAGATAGTGTCCACTCCGACCACCAGGCTTCCCAGCAATTTGGGGAGAACAGTGGACGTGCAGAAAATGTCCAAAATGGCCAGGTTGACAAGAAAGAAGTACATGGGAGTGTGCAGGCCTGGGCTTAGGCTGACAGCTGTGATGATGAGGCTGTTTCCCATAAGGGCCATCAGATAGAGGAGGAGGAAAAGGGCCAAGAGCAGGCCTCGGATCTGGGGATCTTCTGAGAAGCCTTGCAGGACGAATTCAAATACAGCCGTCTGGTTGCCTGCTGCCATGTGTGTGAGCCTCTCAGGTCCCTAGACAAAGGGGCACAAGTCAATGGATGACGTGGCCCTCAGCCATGGCTCTGCTCAAATCCCACCAGGGCTTGTTGGCAACTTCATCCAGAGCACACAACTAAAGCACTAACACGGCCCTATGTCCAGAAGGATAAAACCAAACCAATCCCACTGCCATTGAGCCAATTCCAATTCATAGTAATTCTTCAAGACAGAATATAACTGCCCCATAGGGTTTCCAAGGTTATAAATATTTACAGAATCAAACTGCCTCATCTTTCTCCTGGCAGAGTGGCAGGTGGGTTGGAACTGCCAACCTTTTCGTTAGCAGGCTAACGCTTTAATCACTACACCAACAGAGCTCCTATCCTGGAGGCAATTGAGGAATCATTTTTACCCTGGACCCTCCAAAGTGGCCTCACCTGGCCCTGAAGAAATCTCTCCCCCATAGATTTCCCCCATTTGTGGCCAGGCCAGCAGGTCACAGCAGGTTATACATTGAGCACAGAATGAGACTTTATTTACTTTAATTTAGATCATTTCCTTCCTTATCTGAGGGCCCACTGGTCTTGCTTCTCGATGCCTAGGCCTCACCACTGGATAACCCAGACAACAAACTAGGCTCCAGGACACTGTGTCTGAGGTGGAAGAGCCTGGAATACAGCCAGGACATCAAGGGCTCTGCTCTCCTGGGGAGACACAGCGTCTCCTGGGGAGGGGTGGTGGAGTCCCCTCAGAGTCACCTGAGCAGGCATTTTAGTCACAAGATGACTGCCCAGCCAGCCTCACCCACTGTAAGCTACTCACCAAGAAATGGCCAACACCTCCTGGGGGTAGGTATGGGTCATGCCCCCAGCATGTATTGGGGCACCTGAGTCCACTGGCAGGAACTTGGACTCCACTTCCAACCCTATCCTGTTTCTCCTGGGCTGGTGGGAAGCTCATTCCTTAGGTAAGCACCAGGCTGTGCAGGGCAGGTGGCAGCAGGAATGGGCACGTGCCAAGCCTCAGCAGAGCTCTGACCTCCTTGCCAAGGCAGGGACTTCAAGACCTCTGACCCAGTTCTCTAGGCAGGCCCCCACTCAGGGTGCGTCTGGATCTACCAGCACCAAGTGTCCCTTCCCTAGGGCCATTGCCATTACCTGAGGGGTGGAGAGTCCAAGGTCTTACCCTGGATACAGATGGAGTGGGCTGAGGGCTGACCCAAGGTACAGTGCCCACATGTGTGCACATTTTAAATGAAGCCTTGCCTCCTTAAGAGGGAAATGTGGACAGGACACTGCACATACACTGGAACATGGGGTTAGCCTTAATGACCTGCTGGGTGAAACTCAAGGATGGGAGAGTTCTGGGTTTTCTGACCATGCAGACTGCTGGTCCATTAATGCCCTTGCCCTTCCCTGTGTCTGTGAAGAGCAAAGACAGCACAGCCCTCAGCAAACCACAGCACTCAGTCTGCAGAATGAGAGCGCCCAGCCTGCAAGAGAGGGCTTGCCATGGGAGCTCTGCCTCTGAGGGTCCCTGCCAGACCCTCCCCGCCCCCCACGCCAGAAGACACATTGGACTACCCTCCAGCATCCACCAAGATTCTCACATGCAGTAGTAATGCCTGCATGCCCTCCTCTGACCTGGGCCCCCAAAGGCTGAGGATCACTCACCTGCTGACCCACCTGGAGGCCCTGCCTGTCAACACCCCTCCCCCACAACCTCCTTCCCTCCCCTTCCCACCTCCGAGCCCCTGCACCAGATACACGGAAAACCTGAAGTTGGCTCCCCACTGAGTCAGCAACCTCCCACTCCCATTACAGACCATGACCTACTCTGGAGACTGGAGCCCTCCATGGTCCCACTCTTACCAGTAAATGAACCATCTGGATGGTCAGGACATTGTTTACATAGGTAGCAGGTCCAGCACTTCACGGTTTCAAACTGAAACAGCAAAAGACACGAGCAAAACACTTCAGGGATTTTTTTTTCCCCCAATGTAAAATAGGTCAGAGCAAAAAGAATCTGACTTTCTAGAAATTAGGATAGGTAGTCCAAAAAGACCAGGGGCAGACAGACAGACAGACAGCTGTCCACTGTTACTGTGTTCACGGTTAATACAAGAGACCATCACCAACATTTTCTGCCAGAACATGATGCCACATTCACAGCTGCTACGTACCATCCTACTCAGGTAAGGAAGGTGAGACATGACCTGTGTCTAAAGCCTTGTGTCTTGCTGCTTAGTGACTCCTTTGTTTGCTGTTGACCTTGAACTGGTGGCCATTCCCTCAGGAGGACACTTCATCCCAGGACCTGTCAGGCTAGGCCCTCGAGAGCAATTACCCAACCTGGAGGTATCTGGCCCCATGGGGCATGGTACCAGCCAGGAGTAGTTCAATGGGCCAGGGCATGGCAGGTTTCTGTGGAGGGGTTCTGAGGCCTGTCAGTGCCCACAGGGAGTAAGGCATGCATGCCCTATGGGCCAAGCTTGGTGCCTAAGCAGACAGATCCCTCATTGGAAAGTCCTTGCTGCAAAGAGTCAGACAAGTGCCTGTGTACAAGCAACCCCAGTGGAAAGAGGGATTTCTGTTTAAAATGACTGGTTTTGGGGACAGCTTTAGATTGACAGAAAAGCCTAGAAGATGGGACTGAGATTTCCATACATCCAGCAACCAGCTTCCCCTGTTGCTAAGATCTTGCAGAAGAGTGGGACATTTCTCACAAATAATGGATAATATTGTTACATGACTTTTAATTGAAGTCCATACTTTACCTAAATGTCCCTGGTGTCCTATTCTGCCCACCCAGAGCCCCACCCAGGACCCTACACAAGGCCCTACTCAGGACCCCACACAGGGCCCCATTCAGGATCCTACACAGCCACAGTTAGTTGCCACGTCTCAGGCTCCTCTTGGCTGTGATAGTTTCTCAGACTTGCCTTGATTGATGACCTTGACAGTTTTGAGAACTGGCCAGGTGTTTTGCACAATGAATCTGTTCAGGGATCTGTCTGAAATCTTACTCCTGATGACATTAGGGCTGTGGGTTTGGGAAGGAAGATCACAGAGTGCCCTGCTCATCACACCACATCAAAGACACAATCAACCTTGTGTCTCTGTCCTTTAATTCTATCAATAAACACTTATTCCAAGATGTGACCGATGATTAAATATTCCAGGTGACAGTCAGTATTACAATAGAATTCCAGCAATTTAAGAATTTGAACAATTCTGTTAATTTTTAGATGAGACATAACCTATAGCTGTATCCACTTGTCCTAACTGAACACACTGTTTTCATAAAGAGATGATGTGGATTCATAAGACTACTCAGGAAATAAGGATCCCTACCTCACTACTTCATGGTCCAGAACAGGTAACAGCAATTTGCACGATTGAGTGTACAGATCCCACTAACTGCTTGATCACATTTCTCCTGAGCACCTGCCACATGCCCAGAATTGTCTGAGGGCTGTGAGGGCGCTGCACACAGTGGACTGGTCTCTTTCCTCCTGAGGTCCAGGATCACAAGAAGGGGGCATCCCAAGGGATGGTTTCAGCAAGATATTGACTTAGCCCTATAGGGTTAAGGCTCTCTGTGTGCTGACCCTGTACTACACCCATTGGGACACAAAAGCCAAAGCAGACCTCCAGGAGGGAGATAACTCACAATGACATTGGAAGGCAGGGAAGTAGCATTGGGAAAGATTGTTTACAAAGAGGCGCAAAATTCACCCCTTCCTTCCTCTGCAGGAAGCCCAAGGTTGGGGCAGATTCTGTGGGCTGGCCTTGGGAAGCTCAGGGTAAGGGAACATGCAACTGCATTTTGGTGAGGGGAAGACCCTGAGTGAGCCATGGGGAGCCAGGTAGGGGTCACACTCACTGGGGAGACAGAGCAGGAAGTGGTGGGGACCCAATGGAGAACTTTAGGACTGTTCTCAGTTTGTTGTTCCACCACCACCACCCACCCTCCACCCCCCGTATCTTCAAGGAGTGATGACCAAGAAGACAGGGAGAGTTGGAGGGACATGAGGGTTTGCTCAAATTTCTCTCTGGTGCAGTAGTCAATGCAGGACTGTCCCCTCACACACATATCTGAATTATGGTGGGTTTACCACATGCTCTGGGGGCCAATTGAAGGGGCATTACTGAACAGTCCCCTCACACACATATCTGAGTTATGGTGGGTTTATCACATGCTCTGGGGGCCAATTGAAGGGGCATTACTGAGCAGTATCTATTAA